AAGTAACTTCTGCCTCATGGGCTAAATTCTTGCCTTGAAGGCTATCTTGGATATTTTGAATTTGGGTTTCCAAATAGGAAACTTTTATCTCAAGTATCTGGACTTTCGTCCTTAATTGTTCTAGCTCCATCCCTGCTAAGATAATCAGGAAGAAAGTTAGCTTTTCCTTTAATTTATTCAATATCAAATTTGAAATATGAAAACCAAATTTGTATCCTAATAATATATCTATTATTAATAGATGGATCAACATTATTTTTCAAAAATGCTTTAACTTGAGTATTATCAGTTCTGATCAAGAACTTCTTTGGTAATAAATAATCTTCATATTTTTGAACTCCTCTTTTTACAGCAATGAGTTCCTTTCTATTCGTCTCATATCTTGTTTCAACTTCTTTGAATGTCCCTGATGTATAACCTGCAAGTATCTCAGGGCAACAACAATCTTTTTCGCATTTATATTCTTTATGATTCTTTTTAACCTTTAACACTGCTCCCCACTAGTAATCTGAAACATCAGTTTCCAGGATAAAAAAATTTTCTTCTTGGGGTATTACAAGTTTAGGCAATACCTTTAATTTTTCTTTTACCTTTCTTATATTTTCACAATCTTGCTCTTCTCAAGACCACATTATATTTTTTCTTAATTTTGGAAGAAAATAATTTTTCAATTTAGCACAGTTTTCAATGAATCTTTCAGCATAATTTAATATTCCGAGGAAGCTTTGTAATTGTTTTTTATCTTTGATTTTTTCAGGAAATTCTTGAAGTTTTTCTCCAATATGGGATTGCAATTGCAATTCTCCTTCTTTTATAAATAATCCTAAGAATTTTATTTCTGTTTTAGCTATCTCAGCTTTCTTTTGAGAAAGTGTAATACCATGTTTTTTCATAATATAACAGAATTTCTCAAGATGCTCAATATGTTCATCAATATTATTTGAATGAATAAGTAAATCATCTACATATGCAATACAAAAATGAGTAATTGGTTTGATTACCTCATCCATTCTTCCTTGAAATATCTGTGGTGCATTTTTCAACCCAAATGGCATTACATTCCATTCGTATTGTCCTAAAGGATTGGGGGTACTAAATGCAGTTAGTGATTTACTTTCTTCTGTAAGCATGATTTGCCAAAACCCTGACTTACAATCAAATTTTGAAAATATCTTTTTGTTCTGTACTTGTTTAATAAGGGTATCCTTATTTGGCAAGTAGTATCCATCAAATTTGGTAACTTCATTTAATTTTTTGTAGTTAATTAC